CAGGGTGCTGAGAAGTGGTAAGAGTCTAGCTGGTTTTTGAAGGTAGATGAGCTGATGAAGCTGGTGAGAAGGAATGGAGGCAGGGATGCCTGCAGTATATTTGGCCTAAGAAACGGGATGGAGCCCCCATTTCTTGAATCAGGGAAGGCTGGGACGGCACATGCTGGGTGAGGGAGGCCAGGAAGGGCTGTGTGGGGTTCGAGGTGCCAGAGGTCCATGTAGGGGCGCTCACCATAGTGCTGACTTTTGGTGCAGTGCCTTGTTTTCAGTAACTAGTTCTTTCCGAGTTAATGATCAATTTGAAAATCTAATGCCAGAGGATTCTTTTTAAGAAGTAGGCATCTCTTACCTAGACCTTACGTATGAGTGGGTTGTCTGTGGGAGGGAGCCCAGGGAGGGTATGCACTTGAGCTAGCTCTTCTGAGATTTCTTCTCAGGCTGGCCTGGGCCTTCCTTTGTGGGTCTCATGGCTCTGCCCTTCTTCTCAGGAGTGCCACTGCGGAGGCCTGACATGAGATCATGCCGTCTTGTCTCAGCAACCAGGCCTGTGATGAGCACACCAATGTCAGTGAGTGTGGGAGCGACTTTGCCTACTTCTACTTCGTCTCCTTCATCTTCCTTTGCTCCTTTCTGGTAAGTCCTCGTCACTGTGCCCCTGTGTCCACCTGTCTCAATCCATCCCAGGCCACCCTACATCTCTCACTGATCCCTGATATTGATTCATGTCACATTACAAGCGGATTCTGTGTTGATGGTCCTGTTTCCCCAGAGACGATGACCTCTAAAAGACCCACTCTGTAATGAGCTCCTGTGGGCCTTGCCTTTCCTTCTCAGAAAGGGTTTTAAGTTTGCACGGGACAACTGTCCTTTAGACTTTAGTCTCTGCCATGGTGATGAGTTACAAAGAAGCAGCACTCCAGCTGGTGTGCCTGGGGCAGATGAGCCTCAGGAAACTGGTTGTTGGGGCGGTAAGTGGAGTAGGTCCAGGTCAGCAGAAACCTCTGGGAAACTTTGAGCAGGGGCATGACACAATCTGGTTGGTACTTTAAAACCTTGCTCTGGCCTCTGGTCAGGAGAGGCTGGAGAGTGGTCAGGAGATGGTTGGAGGTGACAGTCCCTAGAGAAGGGTGGGGATGAAGGGAGTTGAGCTGCACTTTAAAGACAGAGCCAACATGACTGATGAGTAAGCACAGGCATGAGAGAAAAAGAGAAAAAAAGCCGCACCTGCCGTTTGCTGGGGTGCTGGAGAAACAGGGGCTCGTTCACACCAGTGAGAATGTGACGAGGTGCAGCAGCTGTGGAAGACAGTATGGTAGCTCCTCAGTAAACTGAAAATAGAATGGCAGTATAATCCAGCAACTCCACTTCTGGGCATATGCTAGAATTGAAGACAGGGACTTGAATAAATATTTGTACACATACGTTCATAGCAGTATTATTCACAATGGCCAGGAGGTAAAAGCAACCAAAGTGCCCACCAACAAGTGATTGGTACACAAAATGTGACATGAACATACAAGGGACTATCATTCAGCCTTAACAAGAGAGGCAGTTCTGGCCCATGCTTCAATATGAATGAATCGTGAAGTCATTGTGCCAAGTGAAATAAACCAGTGACAAAAGGAAAAATAACTGTATGGTTTCACCTATCTGAGGCCCTCGAGTGAAGTTCATAGAGACAGAGTAGGATGTAGGATGGCGGGTGCCAGGGACTGGGGGAGGGGTGGGAGTTAGGGTTTAATGGGGTCAGGGTTTCAGTTGGGGAGGATGGAAGAAATCTGGAGATGGACGGTGGGGATGACTGCACAACAGTGTCAGTGTGCTTGATGCCGCTGCACTGTGCACCTAAATGTGGTTAAATTGGTCAGCTTTTTGCTATGTATGTGTTACCACAATTTAGAAAATGGTATTAAAAAAGAATTAACATAAATCCTATCCAAACTCTTTTTATTTTTTTAGAGGGGGGAGGGAAAGAGGAAGAGAGAGAATCTCAAGCAGACTCCATGCTGATTGCGGAGCCCGACGTGGGACTCCATCTCACGACCCTGAGATCATGACCTGAGCTGAAATCCAGACTCGAACGCTTAACTGACTGAGCCAACCAAGTGCCCCCTATTCAGATTCTTTCAAAAAGTAGAAGAGCAAACACCTCCTAACACATCCTGGGATGCTGCCATTGTCCTAATACCAAAGGCAGGCAAAGATGCCACAAAAAAGAAAACTACAACCAATGTCTCTGATAAATATATAGTAAGAATCCTGGACAACATACTAACAGACTAGTTCCAATAACACATTAAAAGGATTATACATCATGATCAATTGGGATTTATCCCAGGATTGCACGGATGCATTTTCAAAATACAAAGATTAACCAATTTGATGAGGAAAAAACCCACATGATTATCTCATTGGTGCAGAAAAGCATTTGACAAAATTCAACACCCTTTCATGACTAAAACACTAACAAACTCGGAGTAGAAGGGAACATCCATAACATGATGAAGGGCATTTATGAAAAACCTACAGTTAACATTATACTCAGTGGTGAAAGACTACAAACTTTTCCCCCAAACAGCAGGAATTAGACAAGGATGCCCACTTTTTTTAAATTATGTTAATCACCATACATTACATCATTAGTTTTTGATGTAGTGTTCCATGATTCACTGTTTGCATATAATACCCAGTGCTCCACGCAGAACGTGCCCTCTTTAATACCCATCACCAAGGATGCCCACTTTTTATCACTTTTCAACATCATGCTGGAAGTCCTTGTTAGAGCAGTTAGGCAGGAAAAAGAAATAAAAAGCATCCAAATTGGAAAGGAAGAAGTAAAGATATCTCTATTTGCAGATGATACTATTCTATATGTAGAACATCCTGAAGAACACACACACACACACACACACACACACACACACACACATGCTACTAATACGAATAAATGAGTTAATCAAAGTGTCAGGGTACAAAATCAACACAGAGTAAACAACCAGAAAAGGAAATTAAGGCAATAATTCTATTTCCGTAGCACCCAAAAGGATAAAATACCTAGGAATAAATAAATACCCATGGAGATGAAAACTTGTACAGTGAAAACTGCAAAATATCGCTAAAATGAGTTAAAGAAGACCTAATTAAATGGAAAGACATGTGTGTCCATGGATCAGAAGACTTAATATTGTTAAGGTGGTAATGTCCCCACAAAGTGAGCTCTAGATTCAGTGTGATCCCTGTCAGAGCTCCAGTGGCCTTTCTACAGAAATGGAAAAGCTGATCCTCAAATTCATATGGAATGGCAAGGAGCCCCAAATAACAAAAAATCTTGAAAATTAAAGACCAATTGGGAGAACTCACATTTCCCTATTTAAGAACTTACTATAAAGGTACCATGAGTAAAAACAATGTGGCTGAAGAGATACTTTTCCAAAGAAGACATACAGGTAACCAACAGGTACATGTAAAGGTGCTCAGCATCACTTATCATCAGGGAAATGCAAATCAAAATCCTAAGAGCCAAGATATGGAAACAACTTAAGTGTTCATCAACAGATGAATTAGATAAGGAAGATTTGGTGTGTGTGTACACAGGCACACACGCACACATTTTTCAGCAATGGGAAAGAAGGAAATCCTTCTGTCATTTGTGACAACAGGGTTGGATCTTGAGGGCCTAATGCTAGGTGAAAAAGGCCAGACAGGGGAAGACACATACTACATGTATAACTTATATGTGGAAATTTTTTTAGAGGTCAAACCGTAGAAACAGAGAGTAAAAGAGTCGTTGCCAGGGACTAGAGAGTTGGGGAAATAGGGAGAAGTTGGTAAAAGGGTACACACTTTCAGCTATAATATGAATAATGTCTGAGGATGTAAAGTAAAACTTGACCATAGTTGATAATACTGTATTGTATAATTGAATTTTTCTGAGAGTAGAATGTAAGCGTTCTTCCAAAAAAAAAAATAGGTGATGGATGTGTTAATTAGATGGTAGGAATGATTTCATAATGTTTATGTATGTATATATACCACAATATGCACTTTAAGTATCTTATAATTATGTCAGTTATATATATCTTAATAAGGATGATACCGGGGCAGTATGGAATTCGCATAAGGACAGACCAGTGGAGTGGGATGGAGATTCCAGAAATAAATCCAAATATCTATGGACAATTGATTTTTGACAAGGATGCCAAAGCTGTTCAGTATGGAAAGAATAGTTTCTTTAAGACATGGTGAAGAGACAACTGGATGTCCACATGCAAAAAAATAAAGATGGACCCCTACCTCATCCCATATACAAAAATGAACCCAGAATTGATGAAAGAGCTAACACTACAAAACTCTTAGATGAAAGCATAGGGGGCAGATCTTCATGATCTCGGATTTGTCAGAGGATTCTTAGATTCAACACCAAAATCACAAACAACAAAAGAAAAAAATAAATTAGACTACTCAAAATTAAACACTTTTGTGTGTCAAAGGGTATTATAAAAAATGTGAAAATACAATTTAAGGAATGGGAGAAAATACTAATCCACATATTTTATAAGGGGATAATATCCAAAATACATAAAGAACTCTTAGAACCGTACTACAAAAGACAACCATATAAAAAATGGGCAAAAAATCAGAATAGACATTTTAGCCAAGAAGATATACAAACTGGCCAGCAAGCACATGAAGACATTCATCATCTTTGGACATTAAGGAAACTCAAAACTACACACTTGCTTCACACTCACTAGGATGGCTATATAGATAATTTTTTGGGGGGGTGGCTGCATACTAACACAACTTGGTAGTTTTTATTGTCTAGGACAATGGTTACAGACCACAAAGCCTCGTGAAGACCCATTGCTTGGGCCCAACAAGAGACAATACTCTCCCTCGCAGTTCAGAGTCCTCTGGGCTGTAAGGGGACAGGCTTTTCTTACGTGGCTCTGGTAGAAGGTCCATGACTGTACTCAGTACAAGAAGAGCCATAGCTGAGCCTACTTATGTGGGGGTGGGTGGATAAGGTGGCCATCCTCATTTCCATTACTTGGGTGCAACCCTGAAGAGCGGATGTGGATGGCCGAGTTGTTGCGGATGCGGGTCAGCGGCTCTCGTGTATCAGTCTCTGGTTCCAGATTATCGACAAGCTCCACGGTGGAGGTATTGGCAGCCACCTGCAAGGACCTGAAGCTGCCTGCCTGAAGCTGTAGGGCAATGCTGATGGCACGGTTGATGGCCAGGCCCAAGCCATGAATGTAGATCTCACTGCATGAATTCTGACCCCGAGCCCCTCCGTCCAGAAGCTTTTGGCAGCAGGCCAACTGGGCCTTAAAGTCAGTATTCATGTTGACATAAATGTCATTGGGCCTCCGGGGCAGGCGGTGGGGGAGCCGCTTCCGAAGGGTATACTCCACCGGGTCCAGCTCAGCCTCGACGGCCCCGCGGGGCTCTCTGTTTTCCGCCATGCTGTGTGCCACTCTCCAGTCCACAGTCCCCTTCCCAAGCATGCGGCCCGCTCTGGGCCAGGCCACTCAAGCGCTGCTCCCACCCGCTCGGACTGAGCGCGCGGCGCCGGACATGTAGGACGAGGAAGAGAAGAAAAGCCGCGTGCGGGAGGATCGTGAGACTGCGGCCGCCCTTATGGCTCGGGGATCCTGAAAGATGATAATTTTTTTAATGGAAAATAACCAGCATTGGCAAAGACATGGAGAAATAGTAACTCTTGCACATTGTGATAGGAATGTAAAATGTAGCAACTTTTGTGGAAAACAGTTCAGCCCAAAGGTGGAAACAACCCAAATATCCATCAATGGATGAATAGATAAACAAACTTGTATATACCTATCATGGACTATTATTCAGCCTTAAAAAGCAATGAAGTTCTGACCCAAATGAATGGCTGAGCCTCAAAAAATCACGCTACGTGAAAGAAGTCAGGCACAAAAGGCCCTATATGGTCCTGTATTGTAGGATTCCTTTTATGTGAAATACCCCAAATAGACAAGCCGATAGATGCAGAACAGAGATTGCTAGGGAACGGGAGAAAGGGGAAATAAGTGAGTGACTGCTTACAGTAGGAGGCATTTTCTGGGGTGATAAAGAATTTTTGAGGGGCACCTGAGTGGCTCAGTTGTCAAACGTCTGCCTTCGGCTTAGGTCACGATCCCAGTATCCTGGGATTGAGTCCGGCATTGGGCTCCCTGCTCCGCGGGGAAGCCTGCTTCTCCCTCTCCCACTCCCCCTGCTTGTGTTCCCTCTCTCGTTGTGTCTCTCTCTGTCAAATAGATAAATAAAATCTTTTTTAAAAAAAGAATCTTTGAAACTAGAGAGGTGGTTGCATAATATTGTGAATACACTAAAGCCACCGAGTTGTACTCTTCAAAATGATTAAATGTATGTTATGTGAATTTCAACTCAATTAAACAAAAAAGAAGCTGAGCTTTTGGCCTCTGGAGTCCAAACAACTAACTCCAAAGTCACTGTTTTCCTTGAAGGCTGGCTAGGTGGGGAAGAGGGTATGATGGGAGGTGGGGCGGGGGGGTGCCAACATGAATTAGGGTAGGGCAGCAGAAGCAGGGAGTGGGAGGGACCTGGGTTAGTTTGCGGGACCCAGAACCCCGGGGTAGGAGGCTGGCTGCTGTGGGGGCTGGTGGTGGTGGTGGTGCAGGGGAGGCCCAGAGGCTGGGGGAGCAGGGCTGGACGGGCTCTGGCTGAGTCAGAGTGGCCTCCGCTGCCATGATGGTTTCGCACAGACTTTGGCTGGAGGGTAAGGGCTAGGGTAGAGGGAGGGTTGAGGTCTCTCTACGTCACCCCTCCTTCCTGTCCTGCAGATGTTGAACCTCCTTGTGGCCGTGATCATGGACAATTTTGAGTACCTTACACGGGACTCTTCCATCCTAGGGCCTCACCCCCTGTACGAGTTCATCCGGGTCTGGGCTGAGTACGACCCGGCCGTGTGGTGAGTGGCCCCCGTGCTCTGTGGTCCTCAGGGTGGTCCATGCCACGGATCTCGGGACAGGGCTGGGTGACTTCAGACCTGTGTCATGTGACACAGGTTTTGTCAAACCCCCTCAGGTTTTGGTGGGGTCTGCAGAGGGTGGTGCCAGGTCCCCTTCTAGGTGGCATGCTCTTTCTCATGCCCACAGTGCTCTTACACAGATCCCTGGGCTGAGAAATGCTCTGTGAGACCCTTAGTCCAGCGCTTAGGAGGTTACAAGGGGTCTGTGAGGCTCAGGTCTCTTGCCAAATGGGAGTGTACTGTCTCCTCACAGGTCTGTCACATGAGGGGCGTGGAGGGCTCAAGGGAGACGGTGTGGACACAGCAGGAGGGCCTTCCCTTGGGGCCTCACCATCCTCATGAAGCTTGGAGGCCTTCATGGCAGAAATGACATTCTTCCCGCCGATGGGCTCAGGCCTCTCCCTCTCTGCCATCTCTTGGGAACAGGAGCCAACATGCACCTCTGTGTCCCCAGCCCAGGCTGCAAATAGTGGGTGCTTGGTGAACTTTCACTGAAATTAAAGAAGCTACCAGGAAGGGTCTAGTATGTTGAAGACCCTTTGGTCATGGTGGGAAAGGGTTACTGTGTTGCATTAAGTGAGGGGTAGTTTGTTTCCAGACAGAGCAAGTATGTCATGAGGGGACTGGCTTAGGTTAGAAGGGTGTTCCGTGATCCATGGGAGAGTCCTGCACACCCAGGATACATACTGTTATCCTCGGGGCTAGCAAAGCAGCATAGACTCACCATCTGCCCATTTGTCTGTTCCTTCATCACTCGCTTCTTCACTTGCTTATTCATTCATTCACTCTCTCAAGCAGATACTTGAGTAGTTATTCAGGGCATGCTCTCTGCCAGGCCAACACAGGACATGGAGGGGCCAAGAGACCTGGCTGCTGGGGAAGACACAGGCCTGCTCATCACCTCGCTCATGGTGAGCGCTCAGCAGACGTGAATGTGAATGAACAGTGCATCAGTAAACGGATGGGCATCCGTCCCTTCCCACGCTCGAAGGGAATGAGAAGACTGTGAAGATGGGGTGTAGCCACTTCCCACCTCCTCTCTCCGAGGCTCCCAGCCTGCCTGTGTCCCCCTCGCACAGCTCTGTGTTTGGTCACCCCTTGCGTGGTAGAGGCCTGGAGGAGATGGTCAGTGTCGTCGTGGGGAGGACCCTACTGCCCACAGTTTTTCCCTAAATTGGAGCTCAGCAAGGGGATTGCTCCAGAGCTCTCTGACCCTCAAGCCCCTGGGAGCTTGGCTGGGCTCCCCCACCCTCCTCTCATCCAGCCTTCCTGGAGCCCCTACGCCATCATGTGAGGATCCAGAAGAGGCTGTATGAGACCCTTCCCAGGCTGGGCAAGTCCTGAAACCACTGGTAGCACCAGCAACCCTAGGGCATTTCCATTCCTGTAGTGTCTCTGGGTGTTTTCCATTGTAGTGAAAATTGAATAATTTTCACGCAGTGCAGAACAAGCATGGATTTTATTTATGTTTCATGGTGTAGGTGACCGTTTTTGTGGCCTCAGAGAGTCCTGTCATTTTGCTGATGCGTCAGCACATTGGCCCTGCAGTGCCCAGTCTCATTCTGGCTCAGGGGTAGGTGTGGGTTCTCTGGTCAGGAGGGCCCAGTCAGGTCAGAGAGCAGGAGAGACTCCAAGTGAGGCAGGCTTGAGGCTCATTCTAGGAGGGTCATCTGCACTGTGGTCTCAAGAGATGCTACTGTTTCTGGGCACATTGTTTCCAGTATATGTGCTGCCGAAGGGAGGACCGGGCACATTGTTTCTAAAGGGTGTGTTGTAGGGAAGCAGAGATGCTGTATGGGCAGTATGTCCATATGTGCAGGAAAAAGGCAAGTCAGTGCAGGCCTGTGAGAAGGGAGGGCTTCCCCCAAATCTTTATGGACTGTAGACCCAGGGCTTCCCCTAGTCCAGCCACAGGTGGAGCAGAATTTGGACATACAGGAAATGGACTTGGGCCAGACTGTGGTTTTGTGATGGTGCACAGGGGACTCAGACTGTTTCCCAAATCCAGAGTTCTAAAAATGGGGCCTCTGGAAGGCAGAGGCCATTGGGAGTGGGGAAAGAAAGTGCTGTGGAAGAGTAGACAGCAAATATAAGCATCATCCCAGAGGTGGCATCTGTGAAATAGCACACAAGATTGTGGTCCAAAAGTAACAAAAATGTGACCCGCAACTAACACTCAGACTTGCTGCTCCCACATCTGGCCTGGCCTGAAAACATAGCCTGCCTCCAGATGGCAGGGGATAGGGGAAGGCCCAGCAGAGGCAGCTAAGGAGACTGAGTCCTGGGCTCAGGACCAAGGGTGCTTTGAGCCCTTCCTAGCCTCCTTGGCAGATGTAGGGATGTGGTACGCTTTATATCCCAGGTGGCCACTCTGCTCTCTCCTCGTTCTTGGAGACTTAAAGAAAAACAAAACTTTGTGAAATTTCCCAAGCTTTCATATGTGTGTATGGCTCTGTGGGTGTGTGCACAAGTGTACACATGTGTGTGTGTTGCATATGTGCATGGGTGTGTTTGTGTGCACATGTGGCATGCGTACATGCATGTGTGCAGCAGACATACATGTGTGCATGTGCGCACACGCACATGGTTTGTGTGTATCTGTACAAGCGTGTACAAGTGATTATGTGCAAATGTGTGAGTGCAGTGTATGTGTGCACGTGTGTGTGCATGGGTGTACATGTGCGTAGTTTGTGTGTACGCGTACGCGCGTGCACATGTGATTGTGTGCAAATGTGAGTGCAGTGCATGTGTGCACATGTTTGTGCTTGTGTGCACGTGTGTGTGAATGTGCAGCAGACATACATGTGTGCATGTGTGCACACGTGATTGTGTGCGGATGTGTGAGTGCAGTGCATGTGTGCACATGTGTGTGAATGCACATGTGCAGGGGTGTACACGGGCATGCATGTTTGTGTGTGCACATGTGTGTGAACGCAGGTGTGCATGGGTATGTATGTGCACATGTGCGTGCACAGATGCCTGCTCTGGGGAGATGAAGAAGGCATGGAGTTGTTGCTTTCTGGTGCCGCCTTCTTCCGTCTTCCCTGTTGCCTCACTTGGTGAAGGGTAGAGAGTCGAGAGGAGAATCACAATCACACCTGTAAGTGATCTGTCTACTCATCTTTGTGTTCATCCATCTGCCCAGTCAACATTCCTGAGCATCCGCCATGTGCTGTGGACCAGGGGTGTATAGGTGAAGCAAGCACGTGCTCTCGGGATGCTGAGTCCAACAGGACGGTGGGAGAACAGAGGAGCCATAGTGTGAGCCCAGGGTGTTTGAGGAGGGAGAAACCCCATCTGGCCGTTGAGTCAGAGGAGGTGGCATTTGAGCCAAACTGAAGAAGGCAGGATGGATTGAGCTCTAGAGAAGAGGTTGGGGCCGGGGCTGAAGGGAAGGGGGTCTGATTGTGTCTGATGGAGAAGAGAACGCATTGCAAAGGGGCTGGAAGGGCA